GACCGGAGCCAATACGTTAGATTAAGGCCGGCTTCCAATTGTCCGGTTGGGTACCCAAGAAATTTATGTCATTTACGATCGGGTTCTGTCTTGTGCATCTTATAGACCGTGGACCTGATTTATGCCAGATCTCACCCAATAAAATATGAGCCTTTTACGACTGTTCGTCCCTTTCATCTCCAATTTAATTTAAATAAAAAAATCATATACATAAACAGTTAACAAGAATTCTTTCTAGGGCACGGGTAGCTCCTAGATTATGATCACGACGTCTCAAACTATCCCCCCGCATTCAGTTAAACGTTTATGGTTGTGGGGCTGTTATTTTTACGATCGAGATTTGAGGATCGATATCCTCGTTATTTCAAGAAAATTTTCGGCTTCGATGTAACGTATTCAAATTGATTTGTACGAGATTTTTTCTGTTCTAGAAGGCGGAATAAATTTAGTATTAGTTCGAGGTAACATCACGCTCGTATACCCACATAAAAAGTCTAGTTTTATAAAGGGTTCGCGGATACCGCAGCTTCAATATAAAATCTCTTACACACAGCTGGATGCCGAATGGGGCAACAGTTTGAGTGTCAGGGGTTCAGTCAGACTTCCACCATTATCTATCAATCAATCAATAAACCCTCTTCTCTATGTGTACGTAAAAAAAACACACTGTGTTGTGATGTTTGGAGCGGTAAAAACTCGACATTTGTTATGCTTCGCAGGAACAGGAGACAGTCGGATTTATTGCGAGCTTAACTGAGAGTGAATTTAGAAAATAAAATCTTACTGTTTCAGTGTCCGCTGGTTCAATGTTTCTACTTTTGGTTTGCACTTCTATAAAAATATCGCTTTTCATTGAATATAACTGACCTTAACCTACCACCCACAGTCGAAAGTTGAAGGTGAATTTTCAACAGTAAAAACTCGTTTTTGTATCGATTAACGATACTCGAGTATAAGAAGATATTAATTTATAAACTAAGTCTAAGCTACTATTAATCGTGCCGTTCATTAGTAGAGTAATAACTACCAGAGAATAGGAAACGTCTTTATTTCCTTTTATAGAGCTTGCGATAGCCTCTAACTTATTTCATAAATAAATTAACAGTATCAATAAAATACAAAAGCACTTTTATGTAAGTGAGGATACGTTTATTATACACCCAACAATAATAGTGTGTTCGAGTTACGATCCAACAAATTAAAAATCTAAACTATAAAAGTACTACGTATATTAAATCGTACTAAGAAGTAATAACATGGCGACAAGAGTTTGTAATTTAAAATAAATTATATAATGTACACAAGAAAAAACTCAGATCTACCTTGCAGAATTAAACACACGATTATTTGTGGTTTTTGTTGCAAATTGTTACATCATCCGTACACTTACAAGAAAAATACTAAGTCGGGTTAAAAGAATGTAACACATACAGAAGAATCATTTATCTCCAGCTAGAACTTACGTCTTGATTTATCACACTGAACAAGCTTTCCAAAATAAAGAACAAGTAGAACGAACCATTTAAAATAAATGCACCTCTGATTAAAAAACTATAACCATAAATCAGTCTTGATTTAGATTTGAATGTACTTGACATTAGTCGGTTGTTGTGACTGTGATGAAACTTAACCAAAAACATATTTAATATGTTTAACGAGTTAAAATCTTTATCGTTACCGTTAACCCAAAAATTGGCCCCGAAACGACAATCCATGAAATAAATCCAGCTTTTTAGAAAAAATATAAAACTTGATTTTCAACTAAGATGTCCTCGATAATTTTGTGACGTCATCAACTTTTTAGTGGGGATAAATGCAATATATCAATTTTGGTGCACACACACACTATTTCGGAAAAATTGAGTAAACTGTTTCTGATTTAATCAACGCAATAAATTTTAATAATTTAAATTTCTAAAATATGAATACATTGTTAAACCACAAATAAAGGAAATTTATAATGCGGCATACTATAAATTTCAAGCGAGATTTACTCTACACACATTCAGCATAACGTCAAGTTTTTGAGTTTGCAAAGTTTTAAAGCAAACAGTTTTATAGTTTCTAAGTACAATTGCAAACTTTTGTTGTATAATTTGGATTATTTTCCAAAAATCCACATACATGTCCATATTATTTTGCATATTTTAAATAGGATTTACTGTGAAAAATTACAGAAGACAAATTTTTGGTGAAGATGATCACACAATTTTTTAATAATGACACACTTTTACAGATCATGTGTCAGTTCTGTAAACGCCTTTGTTTTTAACCTGAGGGGGGAAGCTTAATTTAGTACATCTTAAATCTAGACTGCAATCTGGTCTTTGAGTAGGGCCTCTATTAACGAGTCAATTTTCATAATAAATAAACAATGTATCATTTTTTAGATCTTTACAGTTGAACCTAATACAACACATATAAATGTTTTAAATCATTGTAATTGTAGCAAAATCTATTAAATATATGGTATTTATTTTATTTAATTTGATCAACAAATAAAATTATATACGGTTTATCTCTCTGATTCTTTCACTGATTTTAGTTCTCCACTAAACAATCTACAGATATTTCGAATGTCCGTACATCCAAAAAAAATTAGAAAGTGACGAGTGGGTGTTAATAGGTAGATGAAATAACTTGTATATTTATACGAAACTCATACTCATATTATACCAATTTTATTAACACAAGTAGTAACACTGCTAGGTATTCCAGCGGTGATCAAGTTTACAAAGTACATAGCGTTGTTAAGTCATTGAAAAGGTGTGGTTTGTTTTAGTTTGTTATTTGTTAATTAAGTAACGAAATTATAGCAGTGTTGTTGTTGTAGCAAAATTTGAATAGATATTTCCACTTGAGATTACTACCACTCGTTTCTAAAAATTAAACATATCAAAACAAAAATCGTTCGCACAAAATCATTCGATAAACCTTTAAAAACAATCGTCTGTTCTATTTTCAGAATAACAAGTTTTATATTGATTGATTAATAATAGTACCGCGCACTTATAATTTATTCCTGACGGTGGTGAACTCAATTCTGTAGAGAAATTATTTTTTTTTACTTTAGTTGAAACTAATTTTTTATAACCTTCCCTTAAAACGAGTTATTCAAGATATAAACATGGACCACTTATTAAAATAAGCCAACTTCCAAATTGTGTGTTAACAACGCGCAAGTCAGTCTCAACACCGCGTAGTTCAAATTAAAAGTGTTTCGACACACCCCAAAACAATCCAATTTGAAAGTCAAACAAGTAAATTTCCTCTGCTCTTAAAAAATAACGCGCAATATGAAACCGTAATTATCGATGATAACATTTCTAATACAACACAGATTAAAAGATATTGTTCGAGTTACTTCATTTTAATCCTTTCAGTGAAAATTTCGTCAACGCCCCTCATGACAAATAATATTAACATTTCCTCACTTTGGAGTGTCGTCAGCCCGTATTTACCAATTTTGAAATTCTTTTCAAACTTACATATTACAAAACATTATAAAGATAAGATTGGAAGATTTACGATTATTTTACATTTTGCGCGCGAAAAGTGCGTATTTACCTGAGAAGGTGAAAAGTTTCCGTAAGAAATAAAAAACTTTAATCTTGTAACTGTACTCTGTAGATCGCATGATTGGTTATCCTACTTGCGAATCAGAAATGGAATCAAAAACTTGTAAATAAATACACTAGATTAAATAAAGAACAGCAGATACCGTGAATGTTTATTATTGGATGTCATGCTTTCATAATATCATTCCAGTATCCTGTTTGCGTTCTGCAACTGATTGTGTCTGTTATTAGCACATACAAGTGCAAGCGTGGGTTCTGATGTGTGGTAATTAAAAGACATATTTTATTTTTTGTCTTCCTGTTTATTTCACCTTCTCGATTATTAAAATAGATCAAATAATTTCATGGTATGCTGCTTATTATTCGACTGCTGGCAAATGGGGTGTGACTGAAAAAATTTACCATACACTTCCGTCTTTACTGCTGTCGGTTTTGACATTCATGTCAAGAGAGTTGGAACAATAAAAATCCGGGCGCTACGAAACCCAAGTACTTTTATAAAACCACAGGTGGAACATAAAGAATAAAAAGGATAATACAGGGGAGTAAAATGTACCTGTATTTCTCTCCACTTTATTGCTTTTCCTTTTGTCCTTATACATAATTTATAACATGTCTTTCTTCATACCTCGCACTCATAATCTGGCGCGATTAACGGCGTACATTTATAATTAGATTTCCAGAGTTTTTGTTTTGGGAAATAAAACCTCATTACAATTCAAACTTAAATTGGACAGAAAGCCCCATTTTACGGTTCTTTCAAAAATTTGAATTTAAAATCCCGACTAATTAGACAAAAGTTCTCTTTCCAAATTCTAATTAGACAAAAAAATAATTAAAAACAACAAACGCTTCCCAGCTTTGACCGAAAAAACAATTCTTCGAACAATTTGCGCCGACTGAAATAATCCCTAATTACGACAACAAATGTCAAACGTGACAGATCAGATAACCAAACTCCGAGCACAGCACGCTATGACCATCAATTTCGAAAACCGTCGATATTCAAGCAATCACCGTGTATATACTGATTACGCGTTTTAGAAAAAAACCTGGCACGTAAAACAGTGTGTACAAACAAACCTTGGTTTATTTTGTTATCAAGGTAGTCAAGCACCAGACTGATAGTCGCCGCAAAAAACGCTCTCCCAAACAAATGTTGCAGGGAAACCTTTAATAATTAACAAAACTAACGAGAAAAAGCTTCGACGCAAATTAATGAGAATTGCGTCATTAGAAAAGTTCAAATAATAAATATAAACAAACAGAAAAATGCGGAGATTTGAGGCTACCGGACGGTGAAACCGCGTAAAAAATTCACCACTATACAATTTCATCTATGTTAAAGGGCGTTTCATACATGAAATAACTCAGAAGCGCTTCAACAATTAGAAATAAATTTTTTAAAAACCATTCTGTTACCTTGTGTGTATGTCAAAAAAGAAGCCACTGTTGCGAATATTACTAAACTATATTTACAGTAACACGCATAAATTGTTCCAGTCATTGTTTATACGGAAACACAATTAACAAAATCACCACTTTCATTACATAACACTGATTTTTTAAAATAAATTATCACAAACAGACGAAACTGCTCTTGTCAAAATCGCTTGCTACTCTGCTGCCGCCATATTTTATTGTGTTCCATGATGTTATTTTTTTCAAGTGTGCTCACGCTAGTAGAGGGGGAAACGAGCATTGGTGGTGCCACCAAGCGGCTTGAGAATGAATCCGCCGCAGGTCTCTTCTTTATTTGACAGCTGTCATTGTTTATGAATGTTAGTTACAATAAAAAATGAAACGTTTGTTTTAATCAGTTATTCTAGTGCCGAAAGTAAATAAGTACAATGATTAAAGCAATTTTAGTGTTCAATAATCATGGAAAACCAAGATTATCCAAATTTTATCAATATTTCGTAAGTGTTTTAAGGTTATGTGTACTGCCGCAATGCAACAAAATATTTCTTTCAGCCTGAAGACATGCAACAGCAAATAATCAAAGAAACTTTTCAGTTAGTGTCTAAGCGTGACGATAATGTATGTAATTTTCTGGAGGGAGGCAGGTAAGCGTTTTTACTTTGAGTCAATATGGTCACACTTCAATTTGATAACAGTTTAATAGGTGGAAGCGATTATAAACTAATTTATCGACACTACGCCACTTTATACTTCGTGTTTTGTGTGGATTCGTCTGAAAGTGAATTAGGAATATTGGATTTAATTCAGGTGTTCGTTGAAACTCTAGACAAATGTTTTGAGAATGTGTGTGAACTCGACCTCATATTTCACGTTGATAAAGTTCATTACATTCTAAACGAGCTCGTCATGGGTGGTATGGTCTTAGAAACTAACATGACTGAAATATTGACTAGGATAGAAGATCAAAACAAACTAGAGAAACAGGAGGTAAGATCAATAAACACACACACACTTTGCGTTTTGTACGGGGATAAGGACATCACTGTATCGTTATAGAATCTTTGGACACTTGACACAGATTTTAAAGAAAAATTAGTTTCGATGTGGTCACAGCCTGAGTTCTAGTTTAGTAAGTTAAAATACTTTCAGGAAAAGTGTGTTGTCTTGCTTGGGGGTGGATGGACGTGTTACATAAATAAATATAAATCTGAGTTTGTTATGTATTAGTAAAAATCAATTGTTGAAGCTGCGTTTAACAATTATCGGATATAAATGAAGCGTTTTGTTTGTTTTTAGGCTGGGATAGCGGCAGCCCCTGCTCGTGCTGTTTCAGCTGTGAAAAACATGAACATTCCTCAACAAATCAAAGATATTAAACTGCCTGATCTCCCGCAAGCGATTAAAGATCTTAAATTCTGACCTCAAGTCGCGTCTCAGTTTCACAACATTGATATAACTTCATTTCATTTACCCTCAGACTGCAAATCTCTGTTGGATGAACCTTCCTCAGCAAAATATACCTGATCCCGCATTTTAATCATCATCGTGCCCGTTTTAGTTATGAGTGTAACAAGACTTTCATATACCATATGTGTAAATAAATACCTAATAATAGAAGATAATAGCAATTTATATATTTTTTGTTATATTCTCATTAAAAGTTTTAAATAAAAAAAAAGTTATTTATAACTATTGATTTATACAATATATTATTTTCTTAATGATAATAATAAACGAAGAGCTGAGTGAAAGTGCTATTGTTTTAGTTGTCCTCAGGCTGCACAATTTCCTTGTTATCCTGCGAAAAAAATATAAGTACACGTTAATTACGCTTTAATTACTACTTTACCTTATTTCGCTTCCCATATATCGAGTAGAAAGTGGTCGTGACGGTCGACTTTTGCCCCGTATTTTGATTAAATATTGAACACTGATCATACGGGGGACAGTACAAGTGCAAACTAATCGCTGTATCGACGTTAGAAGCGTTTTCAACTCGGTGTAAACCCAGGGAATCTAAAATTTTTCACTTGTTATTAGTTTGACCTTGATAAGTGTGGCAAAAATAAAACTTGCGAAAGCGCGATAGGTGCGATAAAATGTAACTTTTTGAACTCGGGCTTTTCCCTTGTTTTTAATATTAAAAATTATATTCTTGAATGAGATAATTCGATAAACCTACCATTCATGTAGCACACGTCATTCAGATTAAGCGACGTCCTTTTCGTTTGCCTGAGTTCTTGACCTTCTTCGTCCGGCCACGCAAATCTTACTTCTTCAAGGGATCCTTGAAGAATTTTCATAAAACAGTGAGCATTGGCGTGGTCGTGGATAGCTGAACCATGACCTTCACCCCAACAAAGAATCATTAAATTGTATCTGTCGTTGCCCTTGTCAACCAAGTTGCGTGTATATCTAAAGATAAATTGTTTTTGTTAACGGAAACGGAAACTTTCTTGTTTTGTAAGTAAGGAAGTATGTTTTTAATGGAATAAAGTCCCTAAAATATGCTGACGGTGTCTCGGGGGTGTACAGTGAATATCGACCCAAAAATGACATTCTGAAGAAATATACGAATCGGATATAGACATGAATGCGTTTTCTGTATCATTTTGTTTGTCAGCCTTGATTTTTTATTGTGTCGTTGTTTTTCTCCAACAAGGTCGTTAATTAGTTTAATACTCATCTGTGATTATTTACGAAAGAATTTTTTAAAGATCTTTAAAGGGTTTCACGATTCACATTTGTTGTTAATTATTTGAATTTCCTACGTTGTTCAAATAAAATGCCAGCTTTGTTGTCGCAGTTTCGTAATTATTTGCCACATGCTGTAATATAAACAATAATTGGAGCAATCTATTTCGTATTCAACAAATGCAACAACTGATGAAATTTAGTAATCTTCAAAAAATTATTTTTTATATTTCGAGAAAGACAAAAGATTACAAGACAGGAAACCTACTTTTTATAAGTAAACACTTGTAACAATCAGGGTTTTTAGCTCAGCTAATGATTAATTATTATGCTCGAGTTCATAAACTAACTTCTTCGTTATTTTTAAAGTTATTTATTTACATATTTGTTTATGGTGTCATTAATGATTGACAAATTTTTACGCAAGGTACTTTTCGGGAAATCATATTTAATTTGTAAGTTTAATTCATAATAATCAAATTCTTTGGAAATTTTATATGTACTTTCTGATTATCGTGGATATGATAAAGCGGTAATAAAAATTTATCGTTCCATCTCTTCCAAATAAATGATGATCTCAAAATTCAGTTAATCAAATCTCAATAAAATTTTTCGCATGAGGTGTTTATTTACAGTAAAATGAAATTTTGTTAAGATAGTGACACTGATTTAATAATTACTGAACATCGACTGAAACAATTTTTTATTCCTCTAAAGAGTTGATGACGTCATCCCAAAATTGTTAATTGCTTAACAATATATTTTTCTATTCAAAAATGTTAAAGTAAATTACCGCTACTTAAGAATTTGATATTAAAACCAATTCAAAGAAAAATTATTTACCTTTTTTATCATTATTCATTTGTGAAAGTGAAGCAAAAAATAAGAAACAAATCCTATTACTGGAATGACGGTAGTAAAACAGAAAACTGGAGAAATTATTATGGAAGAATTGTTACGAGGATGGAATTTACTATTAGTGCAATACCCTTTCTGTTTTGATCCAAGAAATAATCATTTCGGTCACGTATCTGACATAACAGTTACTCAAAATCTAAAATTCGAGTAAAAAAATTCCACACTACTAAAAAACTATCTTAAAAAAACCTTTGATTTGAACAAATTAAGATGTATTGCTTCATTCAAAACTAAGTGAAATCTTAATTAATTATTATTATTTATAAATATGTTATTATGGCAACAAAATCGTGCAGAAATAATGGTCAGCACTATTGTGTAAGTTAATCATGATTTTTTAAAAGAAAATTGTGGATTTTAGTCGGAGCGATAAAGCAAGAATCGATAGGTCACTCTTTCGCAATAAAAGCGAAACAAGATTAATTTTTTCTTGAATATATTGTCTTAATCGACTTACCTATATCTGTCAAACTTTGCGTATTTCTTCCAGTCAACAGGATTCGATTTGTACGACTTCATCAGGTAACTCACTAACTCAACATTGACAGATTCGCACTCAAATATCAACCGTAACTCTTTTATAAGATCGCTGAGATTGCAAACAACAGGTAAACCATTCCCCAAGTGCTTACAAAGCTTAGCTTCCAAAATTTCATCACTGCCATCCCGGATATTTTTCTTATATTCGCACAGCGACATGATCGAATAATTGTTGATGTTTTCCAGTCGAACACGAGTGTCGTTTTGTTTCTCTTGAACAAAACCAGACTTCACCATTGATATGCCGATAACTTCTTCAGTCTTCTTATCTCAGGTCAAAGTTAACTCAAAATTATTTCAAAATATTGTTGTTGCTAACATCAATCAAACTAGAAACTCACTTGAGAAGAACCCTCTTTATACTGCAAAATCCTTACAGTCGTTCAGTACATTCTTCGTGGGAAATGGCAAATTTCTCAATGGACTTTCTAACTAATTTAACTCGGCGACTTTGAAATTCTTCGGTCTTTATTTGTATGCAACAAGTGTGCGAAAATATATACCGCGGTGATTTTGTTTTGTTACTGACAGGATTTTTCCGATGCGGAAAAATCTGTATGCACGTCATCTCTGTAACACTTTTAAAATAGTATACTAAATAAAAAATAGGGAAGTGGTTCATTGGGGTAGTGTGTGCCGCCACTTGCGGAATTTCAAATGGTTTTCTTGTTTTTCTAGAATTGTGCGTCAGTTAGGTTGTGTTTGGGAAATTTTAATCACTAAACGGTCCAAACACGAGATAAAATTTTCCCTAGATGACTTTATATGTGATTAAAAGTAAAGATAATTAATGTTGCGTATATTATCTCTAACCTATCAAGAAAAAGTCAGATCTGGTGACACCGGATTGTGTTTATATAAGTTACTTAAGTAATGTGTGACAACCGACTAATACATAAGTTTGTTAAAATAATGTTTTTTACTTTGATTATTTTCTCATAAATTATTGTTGTAAAATCCCGTTTCTGTATCCGATGAATAAATTAATATTGCGAATAAATTTGGAAGAATCAGGACAACGAGGATGATTATGATCTCATAAATTATACGAATTTGTAAATAATTATGTCACAAAATGTATTTATCATTTAAGTTATGGGTAAGTCATGTTCTTTTGCAACAGGATATAATTTGGAATATACTCCACTTAAATGATAACTCATCGTAGGTACCTAAATAATTACCACAGCATCCTCAAATTCTTAGTTATTTCATATCGACATTATTCAGATTTTATTTTCATCTATTTGTCTGTCTGTCTGTTGTCTGTGTGTCGACTTTTATTGAACAGATAAACAAAATGAATTCTATACATTTTATTTTTTTTATGATAATGTCTATGTTAAAACAAAAAATAATACTGTCGTGTTTTCAGAATTGTGAAAATTATGTAAATCATTCGTGATCTAATCAATAAAATTAATTTATTCAGTCTTCGATATTTTAAACGTCCTGTATAAATAAGTCTAAAAAATCATATTAATAAATTTTAAGTAACATATATTTAGGAGTAATAATAATAATAATAAATAATATGGGATGATTTTCATCATTTTTTGGAAAGGATGAATAAATCAATTTTAATCGTTATTCTGTAATCATTAAAATGATATTACAATTTTTTAAAGATAAACCATTATGTATGTATCATTAAAATATGAACACTTGATTATACAACAAATAAATGAGTATCTCAAGCTACAAATTTTAAGCTAAATTAACACAAGTTCAAGATGACGTCATCAGTTTATGAAAGAGATAAATAGCTAAGTTTTTATTTTTCTTCCAAAAACCTACATGCTGAAAGTGATAAATAAGCATGGATTAATAAATTATATATATAGAAGATCTCTTTTTCACACTTTAAGTAGTACGAAGAAACAAATTTAGGTGAACCATTTACCATGTACATGAAGTTCGTAAAATACATCTAAATTTTGACAACAATCTATCCAGTAGGTTTGACGATTATTTGTGTAATAAGATCACAAATAAACAGCAGACAGAAATGGGTGACCTACTTTTTCATATTCTAGGATACTTGTTTACGTATTTCGCTTATAATGAGGTATCTGTACACAATTCTTAGTACTAGTTCAGTGTAAATGAATCACAAACTTTACAATTTATTAAAAATAATATACAGTTTATTTTGTATCTAATCGAGATTTTCCAAACGGAAATATAAAACGTATTTATTGCACAAACGTGTAACTACATTCCTGAGAATCATACATTATTACAACTTCAATATTTTATGTAATATAATTACGTAAATTGCAAAACAATTGCAGTACACTCAGATATTGATTTTATTGATGCATGGACGTGTACTTCTACAAACATTTACGTACCACTTTCATCACCGCTGACTCACAATAACGAGTCAATAACACTGTAAAAAAAATAATTTTAATAATGTAGTCATTTTATGGATTCCCGTGTAGTAGCAAAAAACGAGGAAAATTTGAAACCAGCTCCAATTTGCACCCTCACTAACGAACTTAATTTGGTTTGGCAAACATACCCTTCATTTCCACCGAACATTTCTACCCTCTTTACCCTTTTTATGTGTCTCGCTCCCTTCGTTTCACAGACAATACTCGGTTTACTTATCTTGAATTACTGACATAATCGGGGTTGTCTTGCGGATTATCTTATGAATTCTGTGTTCCTCTGTCTCCTTTTTCACATAGCTCAACAATTTGTTCGCCTTTGTTTTACTGGATCGCTTTAAAATTTGTCTTGTAGACTATTTTAAAGCGTAAGATGAGAATTTATTTATTTACAGGATCGCTTTTTCGAGCATGTTCTCTTGTAAATGAACCTTTACGTAGCTTATTGTAAAAATTTTAAATTTTACAATTTACTTGAGAAAGTAATCGAATAAAAAGTCGTCTGGCAACCTTTGAAATTTAATTAAAAAAAAAAAATGTTGGCAACACTAACGAGTCCTTGTTCAGTTTGACAGTGCGGTCAAATAAAGTGTCAAATAGCTGCAATGCCAACGTTATTATTTTAAAAATAAATTTCATGGCCTACTAGACGACTTAGTATTATTATCAAAATATTGGGCTAATTGAAACCGACAAGACTAAATCACAAGTGAGTATGTCAATAGTAAATTATATTTATTCTCTGCGTAGTTGAACTGCTATTTTAGGAACCTCTACCCTACTTTGACACAACAGAACTTATTGTCCTCTCTGTCCTCAAAACAGCACAAATCTGACCATTAAAATATTTACACATAACAAATAATTTTGTCACAACTTATTTATGAAGTCTTTATCAAGTTCTTGGAATAAAAACAAAAAAAAAATCAAAACAGTCGACGTAGTCATCTGTGTCAAAACCTGACGTTTAAATAACAATGCAAATAACTGACCTGCAAAATTCGCTCTAGTGAGAATATCAAACCCGAAATGAAAACAGTCTTCGATCACTAAATTTGCTTTGAACGTACCGTTACAGGGAGTAAATTTTACTAAAAATCTCCAATGGTTGATAACTTGGAAGCAATCAGCACTGCCAGCAGCGAAATAAGCGAAAGTCTCCGCGAACAAATTTTAGGTAAAGGACACGGCCGAAGAAAAACTAACAGACCCACCAAAGCGACTGTGTCTCAAGACATTCTTCGAGATTACGAAGTGATTCCAAGCAAGGAACATTCTATCAGTACCCACAGAGTTCACGACGTCAGATCGGCGGGAGATAATAGGAACCACGGAAGTAAGGACACGTCGTACCATTCAGCCGTAACAAATCCCAGAAGTGATAGTTTTGAGGTGATCCATAACACCTCCGAAATAAAAGACCACAGTTTTAGTATTATCTCGATGAAGGCGGGAGATAATCATCGATATTCAACCATTGAGACTCAAACGGTTGCCATCCAGACTGTCTCTACTGGCGATTCTGGCTTAGAATGCAGATGTTGGGGCGACGGCGTATGTACATGTTGTCAGTGCAAACCCTCCAAAGAGGAGTACGTCTATAATAAAAGTAAACGTAACTCAAAATCTTCTCCTCTTCAACAACTGGACGAGACTTCTGACCCAGATCCTACCACTATTGAGAATTTGACTGACACTTCGAGTCAAACAGAACAAGTAAAAAGGAATCACCATAACCACTGTACTTGCAACTGCAGATGCTGGCACGATTACGATTCCATAAGCGATCAGTTCAGCGATTCCGACGACTCCTACACTACAGATTTCCTCGACTTGCCCTACCAAAACAACGAAGAGTACCTCAAACTCCTACGAGAATTAGAAAAAAAACTTCTAGCCAGAAATCGCGAAAGAGTTCGAAGGACCATGATGGAATTTGAGAAGAAAAGTCGCCAAAATCAAAATCTGGATAAGCCGGTTTATGATTACAGTGATGATGGTGCCTCTATCTTGCGTAAACTAGGTCCTAGGAGTCACGCAAAACCTGTCTGTTGCAAATGCGGCAGAAACAGAAGGGTGGATTCAGATATTTTACAAAATGAGAAGCGATGGGACGACATAGATATAGTCGAGTCAGTTATTGCAAGCAATGAAGGGAGCTGTCAAAGCACACCAAGGCGTGAAAGATCGGTTCGTAAGAGTCACTGGCAGTTAGATCCAAGGTCGGGGGAGTGGATCAAAGTGTCTGCGTTTCACCAGAGTAGACCTCCTCGAGGTGATCATGTGAAAAGTGAACATCCAAAAATGTCACCGCATGGAAATTTATGTAAAAATGAGTGCTGCTGCAGGCAGAAGAAGCGGCGCTAGACAATGTTTTGTTTGTTTGTGATAAAGTCAAAGTGGAATGTACCGTTTCGTGAGCATTGTAACGTTAAATTAAGTGATGTGATAAAATAAACTGTTGATTTTAAATAAATTTTTATTAACACTATGGATTTTTAAATGGTTTATTGATGACTAGATTGTGGTGACCTAATGTAAATCAAAGTTTTTGAAAGAAAAAAAATTCAGTCACAAAAAAGGAAATCGTTAAACATAGGCAACCTGGTGCACGGAAATGCTTGCTTGATAATCGGACGATTTAGCGCTAGGGGTTTCTAGTTACAGGGTTGGTGGATTGGTAGAGACAGGGCAGCATGGCGTAAGGTCATTCTGAATGTGCTTGTGTGAGTGTAACCACGTGGTAAGTGCTAGGTTTAAATTAGTTGGTTTGGTAGTTAATAAAACGGGAGGAAGCTGACGTCACTCTGTTGTCCCCAACCCGCGCGGTTAATTCTTGCGGCCTTTTAATCGGAAAATGCGGACTTCCGGTCAACGCGAAACACGTGTTGTAAATTTGTTTCATTCTTTGTAAATTCACCAATCAAGTTAGTTTTTCTTGATAGTCAGCTAGTGCAAACACAGTTTAACAATCAGGATTATATCAATAAACCACTTGCTAGAAGATTTCATGAAATTCACTTGGTCAGGAAAACACCTTATACGCGATCTAAATGATCTGATACGACACCTGGTGTCAAAAATGTGCACTACTCAGGAGTAGGGATGGGCAGATTCGGTCATCACTACGAACGGATCGTTCATCGTTCGGTCCTTACGAAGACCCGGTCGTCAAATGTCGTTCATTTCGTTCATTTCGTTCACTTCGTTCACCGTTCACTTCGTTCTTAAACATTCAAGGCTCAGGGATCTATTGATGAATCATTCGGTCTTTCGGCTCTTCGGTCAATGGTCTAATTATTAGTTTCCCTTTTGCTTGAATCCGATCACTTTATAGGGAAGGTCATGCTCAGAACTATCGCATAGGTATTCGAAAAAAAAACCCCGGCCCATTGCTGTCTTTTTTTTTTCGAATACTGCATTGTGTTATACGTCAAATTAAATCGTTTGAAATATACTATGATCTCATTCGAAAAATTAATGATTTAACGTTTATTTGGTTTTGCCTACATTTAATTTTTTTAATGCCTCCCATTTTTTTTAGAGATTCATGTAACGATTTTTTTCTGAATTCTGTGATGTATAAATAATAATTTAATATTTAAAAAAAGTAACTTGAATTTACAAATAAATACATCAATAGCACTTTTGACACAAAAATTAAATTCGTTTTTATCACAGCTTCCAAGCAACTTTTGAGTAAAATATGGCATATGGTAAATCAAAGAATTAAAAAAAAAACTAGAAGAATCTCTAAACAATGTATACGGTGTATTAAAAAAAAGTTGAATGTCATAGACAAAAACAAATGAACGTTAAATGTTAAATATTCTTAATTAATCAGGTCGTAGCATATTTAAAATGATTTAATCTGACGTCACACAATCCTGGATTCTAAAAAAATAACACGGATTTTTTTTTTATTAATAATCATTACAATAGTAATAGTAGTTACGCTAGATTTTTGGGGATGGGGTGAGATTAGAGAATAATAGCAGACTAATTTGTATGCTGTAATTCTAGAATCTCGAAAGTTGTTTTGTTAATCTAATCAATGCATATCATTACTTGGTCTTAGTACCCGTAATGATAGAAGTCTTGCCTGAATGCCGGTCATTTCCGGGTCAGTGGTGGGTCTTAATAATAATAATTCTTAATTTACATTTATTTTTTTAGTTTCTAATGTTCAGACGTTTATGAACATTGTATATTAGTTATCGTCATAAATTGTCATTTTTGTTCCCGGTTCCTAATTTAAATTCATACTACTGGAATTACTCTGTCTGGAAAACTTACGTTCTTAGTTAATTCCATAAATAGCATAGCATGTGCTCCTAGTATTGGATACAGAACATAGAACTGTGCTGGAGCCATGATTCAAAGATCCAACGGAACCAAAATCCAGTCGAGACAATGTGAACGGTGAACGAGTGAACGAGTGAACGAAATGAACGAAAGAACGACTAGTTTGCGTTGGGAACGATTTCGGTCACTCGTTCATTCGAACGACCCGTTCAATTTGATTCGTTCGTTCGCGAACGACACATCTCTACTCAGGAGCATAGTGAAAGATGAAAATACTGTTGGTTGTACAGTGAAATTTCGTTGTTTTATGTTAAACCAACAAAATTAAATAAGTTGGTCCCAGTATTCCTGAAAAAATGACTGTTAACAATACAAATTGTTGTGTTTTTCGCTGCCATAGCAAAAACAATAGAAACAGTGGGCTCTCTTTTCATAAATTCCCCATAAAAAACAAGTCATTTGTTTAAATGTTATGAACAGGTAAGTATTCATATCAACAGTAAATTTAGTTTAATCAGTATTTAACTAAATTGTTTTTGATTATCAGTATAATATGTATATATATATTTTATATTTTTAGGTTAGGAATCAGGGAAAAAAATGGACAGATATAAGACTTGGATGGTAAAGCTAAATATGGGAAAACCAGCAACAAAGCACATGAAAGTGTGTTCACTACATTGTAATCAGGATGATTTCATATTGAGGATTTGATTTGAGGACCCAGGTGGGTTAGTTAGCTTCGTGCTTGCCCACTACACCTTGGGTCGTGCGTTCGATTCCCGCCTTGCCTTTTGGGTGTTGTGTATGTCATGTTTCCTGTAATTGGGCCTCCAGCTTGTTAGAGACATCATAGGATAAAATAAATAAAAATATTACCTGGTAAGTACAGATTTGGGTAAATGTTGTTAATGTATAATAGACAATAAATGAAATATTGTAGATGTAAGTATCATTACTAAAGAATTACTACCTAGAAGGCCCAAAAATCGAGACTTTAAAGCAGTCAGAAGTACAACAATGAGAAAATCTGAAGGTTACATAATTTCAAGTACAGATAGTACTGATGTAAATTGCTTCGACAGCAGTCAGTTACATCAAAAAACTGTTTCAAGTATGTATACATTTGATGATATTTAAAGAATACAGATTATTTTCTAGCATTAGAAATGGAAACCGTGCAGGCTTTGTTACATTTACAAAATTCACAAAAAAAGGATAAAAATATTCAAGTGACAAGTGGAGATTTAGTGGCACCTTTTATAAGTACACTTAAATCTGATAATGATTTAAATACAATGGCTGGAATACCATCCTTTCTGTTATTTAATGCTATTGTTGCAAATTGTGAGATGTTTGGAAAATTCTGTAATAAACATAAATTAAACTTGAAAGAACGTGTTCTGTTAACTTTTATGAAACTGAAAAATACATTTTCTTATGCTGTTTTAGCAGTTTTGTTTAAAACGGTGACAGCAATAACCTGAAATATTATTCATGCTTTATTTTATTATTATGCATTATTCCACTCATACATAGTATGAAATGAACACTTAATTTAAAAAACAATAATCGCTATAATTAATAAAGTTTTCACAGAAGTTTTAACACCACATGATTTAGCATGTGTTCACTTAAAAAGTTAAACAAAGGGTTAATAACATGAGAACTACAAAAAAAACTGACACAAACAACGAAACAGGCTGTAAACTGAACAAATCCACTACAAAAACGCTCGATTTATTAACACAACACACTTTTTTCACACGATGGACACTTAAGACTTGCCATAAAGGATACGTCAAATATGCCTTAGAGCGGCCATGTTGCAGTTAACAGTGGCGCCCCCAACGGTCATTTAGTTCGCGTATTGTTAATTACGAATAAGTTTATGGATGCATATACGTAAGTGTTACATTATAACACTTCTAAATTCTTCACACAAGATTGCTAATAGTTCATTTACGGCAATTAAACAAGTTCATTATACTGCGAACTGGCGGGAGGGGTTTAAAATGTTTTCTTCCCTTAGGCGGTTATCATCGTTATCATGATTAATTTATCAAGGCATGCCCTCCCCATGGCCGACTAGTATAAAGATTATGGCCTGTCCAAGAGGTACCATATGTGTTGCCATTTATTAATAATTTAGCAAAATTTTAATTTGATTTGACATTATGAGACTTCAAAACGTGCAATGGTCGTTTGTTTCGGTATGAATGCCTTTGTGCCTTTCAAAAAGTGTTAATAATTCTTTTGTCGTTTTTGAATTATTAATAGATGGCAGCACGTATGGTACCTTTGGACAGGCCATAATCTTTATACTAGTCGGCCATGCCCTCACAACGCTATAGATTGATTAATTTATCAAGGCATGCCCTCACAACGCTACAGATTGATTAATTTATCAAGGCATGCCCTCCCAACGCTACAGATTGATTACATCACGCAACGATTATAAAATTTACATCACCGAGACACCATTTCCCTCGGAGCGATGATTGGATATTTTTGTGTTTGTTTATTAATGTGTTTTGTTGGGGTAACCAGTTCGCGGTATTTTAAACTCTCAAAGTAAATTGTTTTTTTGAAGTAACCAATCACTTTGATCATGATATAGTTTGACATAACGTAAACTCTTTGTTTGAATTATTGAAAAAGTGTGGCAAATATCAATCTCATGTAAATTTTGTTAACTTAGCAAATTTTCACCTCATACAATATTTCTCAATCTCACAGTTTTAACCTCAGTAATTTTTATTTGTTGTATAATTTTAATTGAACGTAAATTTCATGTTTTACAGTTTTAATCTCACATAATATTTCTATTTGTACAAGTTCATTTCACACCAGATCTTTTGTTTCATAAATTCTTGCTAAGTTTTGTTTTGTAAATACTTTGTTGATGAATGTTTCTGTCATATAAATTATTTGATGTCCCACCTTTAATGTCACATAAGAATTATTTGTTGTTCAAGATTTCACAAGATTGTATGGCGAAGTTAAATGTTGTTTATTGCTCGTTGAAACTTTAACACTTGTTCAGTTGTTGTTAATATCAAAGTTATAAGAGATTGAATATTTAAAAAACGGAATTGAGGTTAAATAACACAGAAAACGTGGCAGAAGCGAAGTTCGGTTCCTAGTCGAGTTGGCCAGATTTATCGTGTCACCTGTACAAGTCCACAGGTTTGGATAGATTCAGGGGCGGCCACCGATGTTGTAACGTTCTAGGCTTCGTGCTAGCCTAGATCCTCTTGCGGGTCTGGCGACCGTAATGGCCTAGTTTCGCAGGGCACGTTCGTAATGGAGATATGTGTGCGGGTAGGCTTTGCAATAGATAGAATCACCGTCTTGGAATGAAAACAGCTCCAGACCGGTAGCCCCAAACTCCGCTTATGCAACAACGCCCCAAGGGTGCTTTTGTTGTGCTCCTGTTAACTGCCATAACTTTAAAGATCTGCCTCCACACGCCTGTAATAACTTATGTATTTGCATCCAGTTACTTGATTCAGTTTTTGCTTTATTTCTTGCGCTCTCGACTCACACGCAGTGTATGCAATTGTATGAAGGAACGTCTTCCCGCCACTTTTCAAAAAAAAACAACGTAGGTTCCCATTTGTTAGACGATCACAGCCAAGGCCAAATTTTGAATTTTTGAATTTTTCGCGGGCCTTTTAAACTTTTTCAAGGTCAATAAAGGCGGGAAATTTGGGTTATCACAAGATATATATATACAAGTTATGTGTAAGTTCCGGTGTACGGTAATTCTCCTGGTAAGCTCAGTTGTTCCCCGTAGACCATCTCTGCGGAAGTTGTTTGTCATCTTCTTTAATAAGTGCTGTAGGAATTCCTTGCAAAACCATGGGGACGCAATCAACCCAATTGTCGGTGTTGTGACAACGAACAGCTGCCTTTAGCTGACGGTGTTGTCGTTCTACCATCGATTTGCTTGGGGGTGGTACGCAGTAGTTCGAATATGCTTGGCTCCAAGGAATTTCATCAGGTGGTGGAAAAGTTCTGATTCAAATTGTCGGCCCAGATCTGTAGTGATGATGTCTGGTATTCCAAACCATGAAATCCACCCGTACAGTAGTGTCTGAGCCACGTTCTCTGCTGTAATTCTTGTGATTGATATTGCTTCCGGTCATCGAGTATACCGATCAATGCAGGTCAGACAGTATTCAGAGCCATGTGAAGATGGAAGTGATCCAACCAAGTCGATGTGTATATGTTTGAATCTACCTGATGGAGTTGGAAAGTTGCCCATCGGAGACTTCGTGTGTCTGTAGATCTTAGAACGTTGGCAAGCTAGGCACTGCTGAGTCCAAGTGCGGCAATCTTTCTCTAAGCCGAACCACACAAATCGCTCCTTGACAACCTTGACAGTAGCTTTAATGCCGGGGTGTGACAGGTTGTGCAAACTATTGAACGCTACTTTTCGAAAAGCTGCTGGCAGAAATGGGCGAATCATGCGAGTGAACGTGTCACATATAACCTGAATCTGTTCAATAACTTTTTTAGTTCCAAGCCTGTATGTGTCTGCAATACTTTATACAATTCTTCATCTTGTTCTTGCACCGCCTGAAGTTGTTCGTAATCAATGCATTGGATCGATCTGGAAGTGAGAGCGTCCAGGCGAGATAGTGCATCAGCTGGTGTGTTGGATGTGCCGGATACGTACTGAAAGTCAGTCGTAAATTGACTTATAAAATCCAGGTATCTAAACTGGCGTGAAGCTTTCTCTGGTTTCTGCTTTAGGCTGTAAATTAAGGGCTTGTGGTCGGTAAAGGTAGTGAAGTTGCGACCGTCTAGGGATTGCCTGAATCGCTTCACTGTTGAGTATGCGGCCAAGAGTTCGCGGTCATCTCGGTGCCAGACAGCTTTTGCGTACAAAGTGCAAGAGGCTGCCAAGCGTTTTCAACCCATTGCTGTAAGGTTCCGCCTAGGGCCACGTCTGAGGCGTCCACCATTACTGACAGAGGGGCGTCGTACGAGGGATGCGCTAATAGTGCTGCGTCTGCGAGTGAAGCTTTCGTTGCTTCGAACGATTGGTTGCTCTCTTTATTCCCAAAAATTTTCTGGTTGTTCTTGGCATTTGGCCCGCCCAGAAACCTTGTGAGCGCCGTTTGGATCGTTGCTGCCGCAGGTATAAAACGTCGGTAAAAGTTTATCATACCAAGGAAGCGTCGTAACTCCTGTATCGTTTCAGGCTTCTTGAACCCCAATATGGCTTTAATTTTATCACCAGGTGGCTTGGTGCCTTCAGGAGATATCTGATAGCCAAGGAAGGTAACGTCGGCTTGTCAGAAGCAGCATTTGATGTTCGGCATGCTGTTGTTCTGTCTCTGATGCGACGAGGATATCGTCAATGTAGGCGAAACAGAAATCTAGGCCTCGGGTGACTTCGTCTACAAACCTTTGAAATGTCTGGGCTGCGTTTCGGAGTTCAAAAATCACATATGGAAATTCGAGCAGACCAAAGGGAGTTGTGGTGGCCGTTTTTCGGATGTCTTCTGGGTTGACGGGAATTTGGTGGTAAGTATGCCTTTACCAAGTCTATCGTAGAGAAGACCTTTTTCCCGTGAAGTGTCTGCAAAATCATCGATGTGGGGCACTGGATAACAGTCAGGTATTGTTCTGGCATTCAAAGCCCTATAATCTCCGCATAGTCGCAAGTTCCCATCTCTCTTCTGAACAACGTGAAGGGATGACGACCAGTTGCTCTTGGATAGCCGGGCAATTCCTTCCTTGACCATCCCTTCGAACTCTTTTTAGGCTGCGCTATATTTCCCTGGAGGGAGACGTCTAGGTCTGCTGGTTACCGCCGGCCCTTCGGTTGTTTTAATGAAATGGACCGTTTTCGCTTTCTGACCTGACCTGACCTGACCGTCGCGTGTGACTTGCGGTCTCGGTATTTTCGGAAATTTCGCGACCACTTGTAGGAATTTATTGCGCGGATCGTTCACCAGAGTTTTTATCGTTGGCACCTCGACGCTGCACACCTATCCGTTCGCACTTACATTTGTTAGCGGATCTATCAAGCATCCGTTTCGTAAGTCGACCAGGAGGTTAAAATGGTGTAGGAAATCGACACCGAGTATGGCTTAGTCGACGTCGACTATGATGAAAGTCCAACGAAATTCTCGCCGCAGGCCGAGATTGAGAACAGTTTATATTCGTATTATATATCTCTTGGGAAACACACAAACGTCGGCACCCGTGTCCACCAGGAACTTGGTCTTGCTGTCGCGGTCAGTCACGAATAGGCGACACTCATTAGATGGACGGCCAGTTGCTTCGACTACTGGCCGGTGGTCCCGTTTTTTGGTATCCACACGATTGTTCGCACCCGTTTGCCTTACTGCCAAAACGGTAGTGGTACCAGCAGGTGTCCCAAGTTTTTGTTGGCATTCCACGGACGACTTCTGCTCCTGCTCCGACTCCTGCC